GTCAGTCAGTATAATGTCACAGTAAAGTCAGTAAGTATAATGTCACAGTAAAGTCAGTAAGTATAATGTCACAATGAAGTCAGTAAGTATAATGTCACAGTATAGTCAGTCAGTGTAATGTCACAATAAAGTCAGTAAGTATAATGTCACAGTAAAGTCAGTCAGTATAATGTCACAGTAAAGTCAGTCAGTATAATGTCACAGTAAAGTCAGTCAGTATAATGTCACAGTAAAGTCAGTAAGTATAATGTCACTGTAAAGACAGTCAGATGTCACAGTGAAGTCACTAAGTATAATGTCACAGTAACGTCAGTAAGTTTAATGTCACAGTAAAGTCAGTCAGTATAATGTCACAGTAAAGTCAGTAAGTATAATGTCACAGTAAAGTCAGTAAGTATAATGTCACAGTAAAGTCAGTAAGTATAATGTCACAGTAAAGTCAGTAAGTATAATGTCACAGTAAAGTCAGTAAGTATAATGTCACAGTAAAGTCAGTATAATGTCACAGTCAAGTCAGTAGTAAGTCAGTAAATGTAACCGTAAAGTCAGTAAGTATAATGTCACAGTAAAGTCAGTAAGTATAAAGTCACAGTAGAAGTCAGTCAGTATAATGTCACAGTAAAATCAGTAAGTATAATGTCACAGTAAAGTCAGTAAGTATAATGTCACAATAAAGTCAGTAAGTATAATGTCACAGTAAAGTCAGTAAGTATAATGTCACAGTAAATTCAGTAAGTCTAATGTCACAGTCAAGTCAGTAATTATAATGTCACAGTAAAGTCAGTAAGTATAATGTCACTGTAAATTCCGTAAGTATAAGTATAATGTCACAGTAAAGTCGGTAAGTGTAATGTCACAGTAAAGTCAGTAAGTATAATGTCACAGTAAAGTCGGTAAGTATAATGTCACAGTAAAGTCAGTAAGTGTAATGTCACAGTAAAGTCAGTAAGTATAATGTCACAGTAAAGTCAGTAAGTATAATGTCACAGTAAAGTCAGTAAGTATAATGTCACAGTAAAGTCAGTCAGATGTCACAGTAAAGTCAGTCAGTATAATGTCACAGTAAAGTCAGTATAATGTCAGTAAGTATAATGTCAAGTAAGTAAGTATAATGTCACAGTAAAGTAGTATGTCACAGTAAAGTCAGTAAAGTCAGTAAGTATAATTTCACAGTAAAGTCAGTCAGTATAATGTCACAGTAAAGTCAGTAAGTATAATGTCACAGTAAAGTCAGTCAGTATAATGTCACAGTAAAGTCAGTAAGTATAATGTCAAAGTAAAGTCAGTCAGTATAATGTCACAATAAAGTCAGTCAGTATAATGTCACAGTCAAGTCAGTAAGTATAATGTCACAGTAAAGTCAGTCAGTATAATGTCACAATAAAGTCAGTAAGTATAATGTCACAGTAAAGTCAGTCAGTATAATGTCACAGTAAAGTCAGTAAGTATAATGTCACAGTAAAGTCAGTAAGTATAATGTCACAGTAAAGTCAGTAAGTGTAATGTCACAGTAAAGTCAGTAAGTATAATGTCACAGTATAGTCAGTCAGTGTAATGTCATAGTAAAGTCAGTAAGTGTAATGTCACAGTAAAGTCAGTAAGTATAATGTCACAGTAAAGTCAGTAAGTATAATGTCACAGTAAAGTCAGTCAGTATAATGTCACAGTAAAGTCAGTAAGTATAATGTCACAGTAAAGTCAGTCAGTATAATGTCACAGTAAAGTCAGTAAGTATAATGTCACAGTAAAGTCAGTAAGTATAATGTCACAGTAAAGTCAGTAAGTATAATGTCACAGTAAAGTCAGTAAGTATAATGTCACAGTAAAGTCAGTATAATGTCACAGTCAAGTCAGTAAGTATAATGTCACAGTCAAGTCATGTCAGTAAAGTCAGTATGTCACAGTAAACAGTAAATAATGTCACAGTAAAGTCAGTAAGTATAACGTCACAGTCAAGACAGTAAGTATAATGTCACAGTAAAGTCGGTAAGTGTAATGTCACAGTAAAGTCAGTAAGTATAATGTCACAGTAAAGTCGGTAAGTATAATGTCACAGTAAAGTCAGTAAGTATAATGTCACAGTAAAGTCAGTAAGTGTTATGTCACAGTAAAGTCAGTAAGTATGATGTCACAGTAAAGTCAGTAAGTATAATGTCACAGTCAAGTCAGTAAGTATAATGTCACAATAAAGTCAGTAAGTATAATGTCACAGTAAGTATAATGTCACAGTAAAGTCAGTAAGTATAATGTCACAGTAAATTCAGTAAGTCTAATGTCACAGTCAAGTCAGTAATTATAATGTCACAGTAAAGTCAGTAAGTATAATGTCACTGTAAATTCAGTAAGTATAATGTCAGTAAGTATAATGTCACAGTCAGTAAAAGTATAATGTCACCGTCAAGTCAGTAAATATAATGTCACAGTATAGTAAGTCAGTATAATGTCACAGTATAATCAGTAAGTATTATGTCACAGTAGAGTCAGTAAGTATAATTTCACAGTCAAGTCAGTATGTATAATGTCACAGTAAAGTCAGTAAGTTTAATGTCACAGTAAAGTCAGTAAGTAATATGTCACAATAAAGTCAGTAAGTATAATGTCACAGTAAAGTCAGTATAATGTCACAGTAAAGTCAGTAAGTAATATGTCACAATAAAGTCAGTAAGTATAATGTCACAGTAAAGTCAGTATAATGTCACAGTAAAGTCAGTAAGTATAAAGTCACAGTTAAGTCAGTAGTGTCACAATAAGTATAATGTCACAGTAAAGTCAGTAAGTATAATGTCACAGTAAAGTCACAGTAGTCAGTCAGTAAGTAAAGTCAGTAAGTATAATGTCACAGTAAAGTCAGTAGTATATGTCACAGTAAAGTCAGTATATAATGTCACAGTAAAGTCAGTAAGTATAATGTCACAGTAAAGTCAGTAAGTATAATGTCATGTCACAGTATAATGTCACAGTCAGTAAGTATAATGTCACAGTAAAGTCAGTATAATGTCACAGTAAAGTAATGTCACAGTAAAGTCAGTAAGTATAATGTCACAGTAAAGTCAGTAAGTATAATGTCACAGTAAAGTCAGTAAGTATAATGTCACAGTAAAGTCAGTAAGTATAATGTCACAGTAAAGTCAGTAAGTATAATGTCACAGTAAAGTCAGTAAGTATAATGTCACAGTAAAGTCAGTCAGTATAATGTCACAGTAAAGTCAGTAAGTATAATGTCACAGTAGAATCAGTCAGTATAATGTCACAGTCAAGTCAGTAAGTATGATGTCACAGTCAAGTCGGTAAGTATAATGTGACAGTAAAGTCAGTATAATGTCACAGTTAAGTCAGTAAGTATAATGTCACAGTCATGTCAGTTAGTATAATGTGACAGTAAAGTAAGTCAGTATAATGTCACAGTGAAGTCAGTCAGTATAATATCACAGTAAATTTAGTATAATGTCACAGTAAAGTCAGTATAATGTCACAGTAAAGTTAGTAAGTATAATGTCACAGTCATGTCAGTTAGTATAATGTGACAGTAAAGTAAGTCAGTATAATGTCACAGTAAAGTCAGTCAGTATATAATGTCACAGTAAAGTCAGTCAGTATAATGTCACAATGAAGTCAGTAAGTATAATGTCACAGTAAAGTAGTATATAATGTCACAGTAAAGTCAGTATAATGTCACAGTAAGTAAAGTCAGTAAAGTCACAGTAAAGTATAATGTCACAGTAAAGTCAGTAAGTATAATGTCACAGTAAAGTCAGTATAATGTCACAGTAAAGTCAGTAAGTATAATGTCACAGTCAAGTCAGTAAGTATAATGTCACAGTAAAGTCAGTAAGTATAATGTCACAGTAAAGTCAGTAAGTATAATGTCACAGTAAAGTCAGTAAGTATAATGTCACAGTAAAGTCAGTAAGTATAATGTCACAGTAAAGTCAGTCAGATGTCACAGTAAAGTCAGTCAGTATAATGTCACAGTAAAGTCAGTAAGTATAAAGTCACAGTAGAATCAGTCAGTATAATGTCGCAGTCAAGTCAGTAAGTATAATGTCACAGTAAAGTAAGTCAGTAGAATGTCACAGTAAAGTCAGTCAGTATAATGTCACAATAAGTCAGTTAGTATAATGTCACAGTAAAGTCAGTAAGTATAATGTCACAATAAAGTCAGTTAGTATGATGTCACAGTAAAGTCAGTCAGTATAATGTCACAGTAAAGTCAGTAAGTATGATGTCACAATAAAATCAGTAATTATGATGTCACAGTAAAGTCAGTATAATGTCACAGTAAAGTCAGTCAGTATAATGTCACAGTAAAATCAGTAAGTATTATGTCACAGTAAAGTCAGTAAGTATAATGTCACAGTAAAGTCAGTAAGTATAATGTCACAGTAAAGTCAGTAAGTATAATGTCACAGTAAATTCAGTAAGTATAATGTCAGTCAAGTCAGATAGTATAATGTCACAGTCAAGTCAGATAGTATAATGTCACTGTAAATTCAGTAAGTATAATGTCACAGTAAATTCAGTAAGTATAATGTCACAGTCAAGTCAGATAGTATAATGTCACAGTCAAGTCAGATGGTATAATGTCACTGTAAATTCAGTAAGTATAATGTCACAGTCAAGTCAGAAAAAATATTCTTTGATATATTTGACAAGAGCTGTATACAGAACAAATTCATGTGATGTAACTTTGTCGTTTCCAGAATATGATATACATATGAAGTTATGGTATTGATGACGTCATCACTATTTGGCTGTTGATTTTGAAGGTTAAAACATGGCCTCCAGAATAATTCATCAAAGATTAATAATATATCTTTTCTTAGTTCTGAAAGTGTGAAAATACTAAACCGTCTTTGCGACTTAATTTATTTATTTATTATAAAATTTCAGGCGAAGAATTATCGATATCTAAATATCGTTTTCTGATTCATTTATTTGCAGAGCATATGCTATTGTGACATAAAAGACAACATAAACACGCGCCAAAACCAAATTAGAACATGTTGAAGTCCAAAGTACCCCATTTGGGTTTGAAAGAAAAGGCCAGACTATTTAGGCGTCTGATGTTGGCATTCCTGTTGGTGTACTTAGCAGAAGGGTTTGCATGTCTGGGCATCAGCATCTGGCTCCTGGTACGATTACATTCAGTGAACGAATGTTTCTTGAATTATCAAATTAATGCCGCCAGTTCCCTGGTCCTTGCGTCGGGCATCCTCACCGTTTGTGTATGTGCTTTAGGCGTAAGTTCTACATCCAAAGCCAAAAACTCGCCTACTCTCCGGCCCTTCGTTATCTTCTTTGTGGTCCTAGTAGTGCTGGAAATATCAGCTGCCATAGTTTCTGCAGTCGATCAAAATAAATTAGAAGACAAGACTTTCCATAATAGCATGAGTAATACACACTGGCAGATCAGCAACGAACAGGACGAGGACGAGCAAAAAGAACTGCTTGAATGCTGGAAAGAAATTCAGGTAGATTTCAAATGTTGTGGAGTGGATGGTTATCGTGATTGGATAACCGACCCAACAGATACATATAACTTCTCTGTGACTATTTCCACCATGGCGCTAGACAGTTGTAGATGCGAGTTGAATTGGAGACGTCACGAACAAAAATGCATCCAAGTCAATGTGACGCTTGGAACTAATGTGAGTGACTACAGTGTGTTTACAAGTCCGTGTTACGACGCTTTGTACAGCGCCATCAATACCCAAACAACGTTGCTGAGATGGTTCTGTCCTATTCTAGCTATCGTACAAATTGTGTCTTTTTCTTTTATTTTCTGGTTGATTTCAAAGCTTCAAAAGGCAAACGCAATAGAAATATACGGAGTGGATACCGGAAAGAATGCAGATGGAACTGAACCCTCCAACATATTTTCTGTCTCTGAGGACAGAGGTGTCTCGAGGTAGACGTGTCTCTGTTTGTACGCGTGTCTTGGAATAGACGTCTCTTCGTTGTTAGATCGGCCAATTCCCCCACTAGACAAGAATGGACAACACTTATAATGAAGTGTACTTGATTTTCAAAGACTTTTCGCGGATATTATGACGATATATTCTGACAATTAGTGTAACTGGTTATCATACTCGTCTTAATATGGTATAACTAGATTGCCATATTACTATTACGATATATGACCTTGCTTACCACAAGTACTCGTGTTCTGGAAACGTGTAGTGAATGTATAGGTAGAGATCAAACAGACGCTATGTACCTATAATTGGTTATTACTCTTTACATTCCAGAACACGAGCGCCCGTGCAACGTGCAGGTAGCAATTTGTCTTGTTCTATAAGCTGGCCACAGTCCAATAGGAAAGTAAATTATGGGTAGTGTCCGTGTTAGTAATTCGGTAGCTGGTGCGTTTTAAATCTCCGTTATCATAGAAAAGTATTGATTTACCTTTGTTAATGATCGGGGTATTGCTCAAGAATAATGTGATAATTTAGATGTTGTTGTATAGTTTACGATGTTGGTGATTATCCGCGTATGAAAATAAATTATCCAGATGTGTTTCTTCATATTTGCTCGCCTAGAGTGTGATACATGTGTGAATTTTCATTAGCTTTAATCATCTATTTATTTCATGTGTGGTTGCTCTAGAATTCATCATTAAGTTATCAAATAGCTAGTACCAAATACTTCTAACATCCGGAGCTTTTTCATTAGATAAAAACCAATAGTAAAGTTCCATTAACGAAAGCGTCTCCTTAACCACAGGGAAATAAAGTTTCCTGAAGTATCACTTATGGATAATACATCTGGATATATTTGACGCTTGACTAGTAGTTACTTTATGAATATTGAATAATAGTAAATATTTAATTGATATTAAGAAAAATTAAAAATATTAACGTTTTTGAAGCGATATTACCTTTATATTTCAGTAAATCGAATGTTATTTTACCTGAGTTGAAATCACGATAGTCTACAACTCCCAACTTATCAACAAGAAAGTGACAAGCCGACAATGGCCACACTTGTCTTTTACACAGGCATTACCTACAATAGTCGCAAATATTTGTTTAAGCCATATAACGTATAACGCCGTCAGAATAAAGTGGCCTACTTCTGTATATATGGAAGGCTTAAGGGACCAAATTCTAATATTGCACAATACCGACAGAACGTTAGTTGTGTCATTATAGTTCGATATTCAAAATTGTATTATTGTAATTCTGTTATTGTATTGGTGAAAAATGACTCGCTGTATGATTGCGGATCTATAGTTGACAAGGTGTAACATGCTTGTACACTCAAACCTCCAACATTGCGACTATGTCGTTAGAACGACTGAAATATGCTATACGTTAGTGTGTCGGTTTATAAATTATTCCAACACCGCATAAACCATTTCAGTAGGCTGTCTTAAACTTGCATTTAAAATTGATTCAGATATTGATATTTTTGTGCTAGTCATAGAGTTATCATATACCGATATAAAACACCCATATACCTTATTCAAGTAGCGGGGAAAATCGTTAGAGTCAGCCGCTATCAATGTAAGGGTATTTCAACTGGCGTTAACAAATGCGGCGTCTGTGTCGATGCCGATGAGAATATGAATGATGTCAGCAACGAAATCGATAAAATTTAAAATGTAGACCTTTTATCGCCACAAAGAAATGTGACGAATGTAAGCTTGCTGTGATATGTCTATTGTATATATTTGTCTAATTTTAAGTTATTTCGGTGCAAAATTCAATACACTTGATTAAATTTATCATATTGAAATTTATTGAGACCGATGATCTGTCTGTTACTCGGACGTTCTAGATTGATCTGTCTGTTATTGGACGTTCTAGATTGATCTGTGTGTTACTCGGACGTTCTAGATTGATCTGTCTGTTACTCGGACGTTCTAGATTGATCTGTCTGTTATTGGACGTTCTAGATTGATCTGTGTGTTACTCGGACGTTCTAGATTGATCTGTGTGTTACTCGGACGTTCTAGATTGATTTGTCTGTTATTGGACGTTCTAGATTGATCTGTCAATTACTCGGACGTTCTAGATTGATCTGTCTGTTACTCGGACGTTCTAGATTGATATGTGTGTTACTGGGTCGTTCTAGATTGATATGTCTGTTATTGGACGTTCTAGATTGATCTGTCTGTTACTCGGACGTTCTAGATTGATCTGTGTGTTACTCGGACGTTCTAGATTGATCTGTCTGTTACTCGGACGTTCTAGATTGATCTGTCTGTTATCGGACGTTCTAGATTGATCTGTCTGTTACTCGGACGTTCTAGATTGATATGTCTGTTACTCGGACGTTCTAGATTGATCTGTCTGTTATTGGACGTTCTAGATTGATCTGTGTGTTACTCGGACGTTCTTGATTGATCTGTCTGTTACTCGGACGTTCTAGATTGATATGTCTGTTACTCGGACGTTCTAGATTGATATGTCTGTTACTCGGACGTTCAAGATCTGTCTGTTACTCGGACGTTCTAGATTGATCTGTCTGTTAATCGGACGTTCTAGATTGATATCTCTGTTACTCGGACATTCTACTCGGACGTTCTAGATTGATCTGTCTGTTACTCGGACGTTCTAGATTGATCTGTCTGTTACTCGGACGTTCTAGATTGATCTGTGTGTTACTCGGACGTTCTAGATTGATCTGTCTGTTATGTTCTAGTGTCTGTTACTCGGACGTTCTAGATTGATATGTCTGTTACTCGGACGTTCTAGATTGATCTGTCTGTTACTCGGACGTTCTAGATTGATATGTCTGTTATTGGATGTTCTTGATTGATCTGTGTGTTACTCGGACGTTCTAGATTAATCTGTGTGTTACTCGGACGTTCCAGATTGATCTGTGTGTTACTCGGACGTTCTAGATTGATCTGTCTGTTAATCGGACGTTCTAGATTGATATGGCTGTTAATCGGACGTTCTAGATTGATTTGTCTGTTACTCGGACGTTCAAGATTGATCTGTCTGTTACTCGGACGTTCCAGATTTATCTGTCTGTTACTCGGATATTCTAGATTGATCTGTCTGTTAATCGGACGTTCTAGATTGATATCTCTGTTACTCGGACATTCTAGATTGATCTGTCTGTTACTCGGACGTTCCAGATTGATATGTCTGTTACTCGGACGTTCTAGATTGATCTGTCTGTTACTCGGACGTTCTAGATTAATCTGTGTGTTACTCGGACATTCTGGAGGATCTGTCTGTTACTCGAAAATTCCATCTGTCTGTTACTCGGACGTTCTAGATTGATCTGTCTGTTACTCGGACGTTCTAGATTGATATGTCTGTTACTGGGTCGTTCTAGATTGATATGTCTGTTATTGGACGTTCTAGATTGATCTGTCTGTTACTCGGACGTTCAAAATTGTTTTATTATATCTATATCATGATCTAGGTGTTTGTCTAAATATAAATATTCAGTATCCAGATTTTTAATACATGTAGACTAGAGTATGCAGGGGTGTTAGCTGAAAGTTTATTGAGATTAGTCTGTTGATTGGGGTGTGGAATTCTGCTAACAATATGATTTTATTTAGCGTCAAGATTTTTGTGATTGTTCGATCTTCGTGAAATATTAGTTGGTATTTCAATACATGTTTTGTTTTAATTGCAGTTAAAAAGAGCCACGTGCTGTTTCAGTCTCACTCACATGCAGACATAAATGAGATATCAAATATTCGGATGTTTTGGATATAGCACATAGATTTGCAATGACACAAATTCTAAACCCCACGGTGCATATATTTTGACTGATCGATCTTTGGATTGCGGAAAATGTCCGGTAGTCTCATAAGTTATAAAGTCAATGTTTTAAACTGACTTTGAAACATATTTAACCGCCCTCTGTGTCATCACCTTTTTCAAGTTTAACTCTATATACTTTTTACATATTGTAATGGTTCATCACTCACTAGCGCACGTAGACGCAGTGAGACAATCAGACATTTGGTTCATCACTGACACCCGCACGTAGACACAGTGAGACAAGGGACCAGACACTTGGGTCATCACTAACACCCGCATGTAGACACAGTGAGATAATCAGACACTTGGTTCATCACTAACACCCGCACGAAGACACAGTGAGACAATCATACACTTGGTTCATCACTAACACCCGGACGTAGACACAGTAAGACAAGTGATCAGACACTTGGGTCATCACTAACACCCGCACTTAGACACAGTGAGACAATCAGACACTTCGTTCATCACTAAAACCCGCACGTACACACAGTGAGACAAGGGATCAGACACTTGGTTCATCCCTAACACCCGCACGTAGACACAGTGAGACAAGGGATCAGACATTTGGTTCATCACTAACACCCGCAAGTAGACACAGTAAGACAATCAGACACTTAGTTCATCACTAACACCCGTATGTAGATACAGTGAGACAAGGGATCAGACACTTGGTTCATCACTAACACCCGCAAGTAGACACAGTAAGACAATCAGACACTTAGTTCATCACTAACACCCGTATGTAGATACAGTGAGACAAGGGATCAGACACTTAGTTCATCACTAACATCCGGACGTAGACACAGTAAGACAAGTGATCAGACACTTGTATCACACACCCGTGTAGACACAGTGAGACAATCAGACACTTGGTTCATCACTAACACCCGCATGTAGATACAGTGAGACAAGGGATCAGACACTTCGTTCATCACTAACATCCGCACGTAGACACAGTGAGACAAGGGATCAGACAATTGGGTGATCACTAACACCCGCAAGTAGACACATTGAGACAATTAGACACTTGGGTCATCACTAACACCCGCACGTAGACACAGTGAAATAATCAGACACTTGGTTCATCACTAACACTCGGACGTAGACACATTAAGACAATCAGACACATGGTTCATCACTAACACCCGCATGTAGATACAGTGAGACAAGGGATCAGA